ACAAGAAAAAAGTAAGGTTTAATTTCTTAAAAATAAAAACAAAAGAATTATGATATTCGATAATATATTCAACTGACAATATTGAAAGAAAATTAAAAAACACGATTATACTCTTTAATAAAACAAAGTGCTAAGTGATTTTAAAAAAAGAAGTCGCAATCGCAAACATAACTAATTTTTTGAATAAACAAAGTTGATTGACTTATGTCCAAATCCAAAAGAGGAAAAATAAGTTTTGTTATAATTTTATTTATAAAAATGAAAACAACGAAAGATTTATAAATTTAAAATCAGTACTAAAACCCCATTAAATTATTATTTTATCCAAAAAGTTTTTAATAAATTGAAATAAAGTAAAAAATAGCCTAACAAATTTAATTACTTTTTAATTTAATTCTTTATGGGCACCTTAAATTAGATTTCCGTTTGTAATAAATTCAATAATGTAAAATAATACTTAAACATATAATATCAAAATTAATTTTCACATTTAAAAATAAAAAAGAAAGTTTTGTTTCAAAAAAAAAATTTACTAATTAATTAAGAAACACTTCTTTATATATACTTTTCAATAATAGATTACGTTCAGAACAAGGTAACGACGGCGATTACAAAGTCAGTCCCACTGAAAATAATCTACAAGAAATGATGTCAAGTTGCGACAAAGAAGGGGAAAAAACTAAGATATGCAGAAACGAGCATGCGAGATCACGATATATGTTCTCAAAACTGATTCTATCGCTCATCAATCAAAGCGATATATAACAATACGAACATCGTCTTCCCCAGCGCGAGTTGGCATCGAACCGTAAGAGATCCTTGCGTGTCTTGTGTCGCGATATTGTTCGTCTTCTTTACTCGACGGCTTAAATCAGATTTCTGGTGCATTGCCTGGAACGAAAATCGATGTATCAGGCGTTGAATCGATATATCGATTTATAGCCCAGTCCTATCAGTGAGTAAACAAACGGAGACTGGGTGATCTGGGCGTTATTTTAATTAAGCTTTTTTTAAACATCCGACATTTTTAAAGCATTCCATTTTTAATGGGTATAAAAATTTTAAATAAATATGTATTACTCGACTACTAAAAACACCCACATCTGTAACAAATAATATGTTATTTTCTATGTTTATTTTATTTATTTTTTTTTTCTTAATCCGATATTAGATATAATTCCACATGTCCTATGAATCTGAATAGGGGCCCAAAAGATTAAAAGGGTGCTAATTCGTGCTGATTTTTTGATAAATCCATTTTGTTTTCTGATCTTTTTTTGTCAGAAATAAATCTTGTTTCAGCCGTAATTAATCTCTTTTTTCGACCATTTCTGTATGTATTTTCAAATTCCTATGTATTTATTATATTATTACGACATTTCGAATTTCAGTTATAAATATTCAATGAGCACAATATGTTACGATTCCATCATAATTTTACGTTACATTTTAATTGTTTCGAAGACTGTCATTTTTTTGCCTGGATATTCAACTATTTTATGTGCTTGATGAGTGACGATTCCATCGTAATATCATGTGATATTTATGATGATATTTTTTTCGAAAGCTGTCATTTTTTTTCCACATGAATTTTGAAAATCGATATTTTAAATACAATGTTGTTACAACGTGCCCATTTCAAATTTGCATTATCGCTATTTGATGCATTAGATTCAAGACATTTCTATCACGATTCCACTCCATTTTTTGTAGGTTTTATGCAGTTATTTGTCATTTATTAGCCACTTTCACATGATTTTTGAAATTGAATTAATTTTAATACGATGCTATAACAACGTTCGGAAAGTTCATGTCTATTCTAATCGGCCCAAACTTTATAATTAACTCAATACTTGTATCGGCAGTTATTTATAATTTTTTCGGCCTTTCGCATGTTGTTTTCATAATTTTTTTGTAATTTTTTAAGTTTTAATACAACGTTTGAATTCCGAATTTGAATTATCACTTTTTAAAGTGTTTCATTTGTGACTATTCCATCCCAATTGATGGCAATTTTAACTTGTATTTTCTTATTCTGATCATTTTTATATGTTATTACAACAAGCGAGTTTTTCGATTTAAGGTAGGGGTGCTCAACCTGCGGCCCGCGGGCCAAATGCGGCCCGCCAACCCTCGATGTGCGGCCCGCGGCAGCAATCTGAACAAAATGGAAAAAAAATTTAATATTTGTTTTTGAAAAATAATTTTAAAAAAATCGGTAATTTAAATGTACACTTTTAAGTTTTTGACGCACCCAATCTCAATCAATGTAGTTTTTTGATGGTTAACGCTACGGATTTCAGCATAGTTTTAAAAATCCCAATATTATTAATACATCATTATTACAATTTACGAATTTTAATTACCACTTTTGACGCTTTTCGTATGTGCCGATTCCAATGACTTTTCGGTAGTTATTGCTACCCATTTTCAAGTAGTTTCTGAAATAGCGATTTTTGAAAGTTATGAAACTTTTGTGCAAACTTCATGGAAAATCTAAATGACTTTAGATCCTTTCTTTCTTCAACAGTTATTGCTGTACATTTCCGCCCAGTTTTTAAAACTTGGATATTTTAGCACGATATTATTACGAATCGCGAGTAAAGAATCGCTCATTTAGATAACCATTTTTTGACATGGCTTATTTGTAACGATTTTATCGCAAATCAAATTATTTTGCAATCGTTACTTTAGAAATTATTGCTACACATTTCTACAAGGTTTTGAAAGTANATGGATAGTTTTTTCAGCAGCTGTTTGTCGTTTCATGACTATTTCCTCATGGATTTTTCGCTTCCCATGTAATTAATATAATGTTATGGCTTACTAATTTCATATTATATTCATTGTAAGTCCACATTAATTTTCGATTGCTTTCTCGGCAGTATTACAATCGCTTATATTTTTTCCCTTTAATTTTGACATTATTTTTAAAATCCTGATATGTTTAATAAGTTATTAATATACACCATTTTCAAAATTAGAAAATTACACTCATTTTAAATTTGATTTATAGAATATACGAATTTAAGAACAATAAGATATTTTTAATGTTAAAATTAAAAACTTTGTATATTTTGGATGTTAAAAGTTATGCAAATATTTGTGAACCATGCTCTTTTTTGTGATAGGTGCATTTTTTTTAGAGGGAAGTAGTTTCCTTTTCAGCTTTTAGTGCCCTGCCCTTTTTAAAGTCTAGAATGAACACTGAATTTTCTGTTTTTTATAATGTTAAATGTTGTGTATTATCTATATTTTATTATAAATGTATTTAGTTACTGTCCTACAATTCTGTTTATTTTAAGCTTATAATGCATTTCTGAAAACACAGTCCATAATGTTTGCATAAATTCTTTTCTCTACTTTTATTTATTAAACCTGCAGATTTCAAAAAATGCATTGAATTCTATGGTTCCAATTGATATTGAACTTTCAACTTTATGCTAAGCATCTTGATTATGTGTCAATGCAAACTACTGAAACTACTAAAGAAATATGTGCAGGCAGCCATTTCACTGCATGCATTACTGTAAAGCAAAAAAACAATTACTGTAAAGATTTTGTAACATAAACAGAGGCATTGTCTTAATAATATGAAAAATCCAACTCTAGGGGGCCAATTTTATATGCAAATGGTGGTTAATGGGCTCTTAGCTATTTTTAGCAACTTGTAGATTTTGATTGCTAAAAATTTTATATTGGTTTGAAAAAGTTAGTTAAAACCTTTAAAAGGCAAGTAAATTTGTGGCTAATTTAGAATAGGCTGATCCTGTAAAGAAATATAGTAATTTATTTAAAAGAGCATTTTAACTATTTTAAGAATGTGTTAAGTATTTTATTAATACATAGGTTTTGTACACTTTTATACACCTTTGGTCAGTTTTAGATTGTTAATCCTGATCTTTGACATTTAAATTAATTTAGTTTATCTAAAACCCTAACCTTATATGGAAAGATTTTTATACTGTCAGATCACTATATTCAATATGTCTGAGATATTTATTGATTTAACACAATCAATTAGCTTCTCAACACCAGATCCAAGTGTGTCGCATAGTCAAACTTTTAATGCATATACATTCTTTTTTATTATCGACAATCTATTTTATTTATGAAAGCTTTTTTGTTTTAGATAAATTTGCTAAGCCAACGAGCTAAGGGTATAGCTAGGCATTTGCTGCAGCCCAAAAAGAAATTCCCTGAAGCAGTTACAAACAGAAAAAATATTTTCGAATCTCCTATGGAAGAGGATGCTGGCAGTGGATGGGAGAATGTGGTTGTTTGGAATAATCATGCTAATCCAGAAAATAAGGGTGCAGACTCTCAAATTGATATTGCTGAAAATAATGCAAGCCTTTCCCCGGAAACTCATAATAGTGTTGAGGAAGAAGAAATTCAAAGCAAATTTGTCCCTGAAAGAGAATACAGTAGTACTTCATCTCTGAATTCTAGTCGATCCGATTCAGAAAATGAAAGCATTATGGAACAAGTAACAGTTGATGAAAATAATCATGAATCCAATGGTACTCCTATGGAATCCCCTATGGAAGAGGATATTGGCAGTGGGTGGGAGAATGAGGTTGTTTATAATACGAATCACGCTAATCAAGAAAATAATGTTGCTGACTCTCAAATTGATATTGCTGAAAATAATGCAAGCCTTTCACCAGAAACTCATAATAGCGTTGAAGATGAAGAAATTCAAAACAAATTTGTCCCTGAAGGAGAATACAGTAGTCCTTCTAAATTTGATACATCCCTGAACTCTAGTCGATCTGATTCAGAAAATGAAAGTATTATGGAACATGTAACTGTTGATGAAAATAATCAAGAATCCAATGGTACAATAATCAAGAATGCAGTGGTAGAAGTCACAGAAAGTGAAAATTTAAATGACGCCACAAAAACAGATGACTTAAACTTAGTGGAAAAAGAAATAAACCAGGTAAAAATAATTTTTTTTTTAACTGTCAAACATTACTTAAATTGTAATTGTTAAGTTTTACAACCATGTATTATGATTTTTAATTTTATGTTTTTAGTAATTTTACTACAATAATAACCAGAAATGAAAGGTGCGCTTTTAATTCTGATGTTTACGTCAATTAACTATTAACAACAAAATCTTCTTTTTACAATCTTTATTTTAATTTTCGCAGTGTAACTGATTTTCAGTAATGTAATTTAAATAACCGTATTTTTATATTAATCTTGGACACCTACGGTTATTATTTTCTTCTGTAATTATTTATGCTCTAGATTACAAGCCTCTGGTTGTCTAAACGGAATTTTTTTGTTATTTCTGAAATTATTATAATGACTGCTAAAAAAAATTTTTTTTTCTTTAAAAAGAATTCTGAGGTAGAACAGAGAATTATAGTTAGCTAATCTAAAATGTGGCATTCAAATTTTATTAAAGAGATCATTATAAAACAAAAATGTTTGTAAACAGGATGATTCAGGAATGCTTCATTCTGATTAATAAGTAAATATCCCAGGTGACTGAATTTATTAGAAAAAAGGTTATAAAGCACTTTAACAATAAAGATAGAACAGTAATAATTTGATTGATATAAAAGTAATTAAATGAGCAAAAAAATTTTACGCCATCCTTTAATGTATAAATGAGTGGTTTACAATGCATATTGATTAATATTAAATATATATAAATTAATTATAATATTGAGTATATATACATACTCAATATTATGAAAAGAGCACCATATTTCTTAGATTGCGACTACCACCTATATTTTGGGAGTCAGAAATCTGAATCTGTTGAAAAAAGGGTATTGTTTATTCTGGATAGTACGTTTTTGTGCCTGATTTCGTAATTTGAAATATTGTCTGCATTAAGTGATTAGCCTATTTGAGTTAACCCCCTCAAGGCATTAAGAAAGATTCCCAAAACATGAAGATCCAATTATTAAATCAAAAGATATTCAGGGTGGTCTTTTTTTTTGGCACACTGTACATGAATATTTCCAATAAATTATTCGTTCTATAATATATTCGCTGATTTTTGAACTAATTATAATTTACAAAAATGTAAATGTTTGTTTTGAATGAGATAATAATTTTTTTATCAATTTAAGAGTTTAATTGCATTACTATCAATATTTAGTATAGTTATTGGAATAAATTTTATTATGTTATAATAGCTTTAGTTGATCTACATTTTAGTCTATGCCACTCTGCTTCATTTGTAATTTTACATGTATATTTATTTATAAATACTTCCTATTTATAATAGCTAATAATTATCCTTACACCGAAATTTTGTTCGAGATGTCGAATAAAAACATGGTTAAAACTGTTCAAAACCATCTTGTCAGAATAACTTGCCAACCCTGCTTTCTGGTGGCTTCAGTAAATTAAGTTTTTAATCAATTGATTTCAATGGGGATATATCTTAATTTATCCTTAAAGTAATAAAAACGATATTAATTTGTTTTAAAAATTAAAATTAGCAAAGTATACATAATATTTACAAAATGTTTTTTTATAAATATTCGACATTTTGTAATGTCTTATTGTCTGTATTAACTATTTGAAATTAGTTTGAAAAATTTCTGACATATTTTTTTTTTTCAAATAAAGGAGGATTGTATTAGCCTACTATTTTTAATATTTGTTACATCTATAATTTTTGTTGGTCAGTATTATTTTCTGATACTATATAGTTTTAAAGTTCTGAAGTAATTGTAATAATAATTTATTTTGCAACTTTAAATTATTGTTACTGTTTCAAATCATCGATTAATATTATTACCTTGTGTTCTTATAAATTTCATATGTTTTTTTAGAATTCATGTCACCAAGCAGGGGAATCTAGGCCAATTACACCCACATTTGATGAAATGTGTGCTGATCTAGTTTTAAGTGAATCATCTCAACTGGCTGATAGTTGAGATTTCTTATGTTTGTATAAATTCATCCTTGTATATTGTCAATTAAACATATGTAAATTTTCGACCGATATTCTAGGACATTTTTTTTCTTTTAACTAATTATCAACTTTTACTATGATGTATTCTTTATTGCAATAAAATAGAGTACATTTTTAATGTAGAAATATTTATCCTGGTGACTATTTTGGTTATTTCCAATTTTCATATTTAAAAGAAAAATAAAAAATATTTCTTAGAAATAAATATTTTTCAAACCATGCTTTATAATTTTTTTTTTACCTAATACTGAAGAAATGTTAATAAAAACTTTGTTTGATTGCTTATTAAATTTTTTTATACCTATTCTTATGTGATACAATTTATTTAATATTATTTTTAATACCTTAAAGAATATTTTAATTTATCAGTTTAAAATGTTATAATGACTGATCGAGTATTTTAAAAAAATTCAATATTATAGTACCTATCATGGCTAGTGAGTTAGCAAATTTAGTTATTTTGATCATTTTAATTTTTATTGTCTAAAACTAATTTTAAATTAAAATTTATAATGATAAATTCGTTTCAAATAAACAATATGAAAAAAATCAATATCGCAAAAGTATTATTGCTTTTGTTATTGACTTAAACAGAGAAGATTGTGTTCTGGAAAAAATCAATATTTTTCGCCAATTATGATCTGGGAATCCTAAGTCCAAAAGTTTCATGTGCATTTAAAGAAGTATGCATTTTCTGTCTTTTAATTTTGAAAATAAAAAGAAATGGAACTTTTATTTTCTATTTTATCATGAAAAGCAATAATGACTGTAAATAATTTTCTAACTATTTAAGTAAATGTATTGAGTCATACCCGATTTGTATGCAAGATTTGTTACTACTATCTATGATATGGAGGCAGAGGGATTAAAAAGAAGCACACGCATCTGTCCTTCCTCCCTTAATATCTAATAAATTAAAAATCATATTTGAAATTTTTAAGTGTCACTTTTTTTTAGTTTTAATAGACAAAATTTTTTCTTTCTGATAATAATTTTTAAAGTTTATTTCATGACAAAAAAAAATAAATATATTACTATAAACAACTTATAGGTTTGCATTTCACAAAATATTAACACAACAATAGAACTTTATTTATTTTTTTTGCGTAAAAATTATTTTTTACTTTATTTTTTATGCAGTTTAAAGTATTATAATTTTTATTTATTTTTTGCCACTAAGTTGAAATATCAAAAAAACTGAAATTCATACCTTTGGTTTAGTAGTTATGAACAAATTTTTGAAATAGTATATGAACTCAAATAAAAGTCTCTTTCTTTAAATTAAAAAATAATTGCATGTTTATTGAAATATTTTAATGAATTTTTTTCTATTTCCAACTCTCCCTGAAAAATTTTCTGTTGGTATCCTTGGTTGCTAGTACATTACAACAACTAATGTTTTAGTCTAAGTAGTGAAATTTTTGTGAAAATAAGTAGTTTAGTGATTATTGCATAGCATTGTCCCGTTAATAGTGCTAAAAAGAAGTTTTCGTTATTTATAAAAATATAGATTTCAAACTTTATCACTAGTCCAAAGTTTTTTTTTTTAAAGAAAAGAGAGAAAGTTTAAGAACTCATCATCAAGATTTGATATTGGTTATCCTTACATTACAAACTTTGATATTGGTCACAGAAATAATTTCAAAATCACTTAAAAGTAATACTTTAAGGTCATATGTTCAAAATTTGATTGCACGAGAACTATTCGACCTATAATGTTTGAATTTCGTATTTTATCATCTAAAATTGGATACTTTAAAATGATGTAAGAATTATTTTTGCCGCATAAATCAAGGCTTTTTCAACAATCACCTTATTAAATAATAAATATTTCTTAAACATTATATTTTACTCAACTTATATTTGGATTATTAAATTTTATGACTGTAAGCAAAACTTTTGCTTTGCTAGTTCTCGAGGTATTTTTAAATGTACAGAAATTTAAATTAATATTAAGGATTCCAAACTTGTGATATTTTTCCAGCTTAAACTATTGGGATCATATCTTCCTGATTTCTTCTAACCCATATTTTGGATTTCAGAAATCCAAAAAAAGGTATGTATATTTCAAGAAAGTAGCTAGGTACCATTAAGATTGAGTCATAAAAATCGGAAGAAAAAAATCTGGTCATTAGATCAAAAGTTATTCAGGGTGTTCACTTTTTTATTTTGAGCGTTGTACAGATTTAGGAAAATGGTAAAAACAAACAAATATAATATAGCAATTTGTGAATTTTTAATCACCTGGTCCATTTTTTTCTGTTGTTCTTCGCAATAAAATTTAAACAAAAGTGTTGAGAGCTTTAATAGTTTTAAAAATTATTATACTTTCATAAGCAATTGTCGTAATCGGTTGTAATTTGTTTAGAATTGTGAGAATTTTATTCGACTTGATCAGAATATGTATAACCAGAAACTTCTTAAATTTTTATAATTTGGCTGTTAATAAAAATGAATATTTTTCCAACTAATAGCTTCCTTTAGTTTAATTTCTAATAATGAGGGATATTTATTTCGAAATTGTGTTATTGTCCTTTTCAAAAGAAACCCAGACTAATATTTTTTCAAAATTGAACTGTGCTTCATTAAATCAGTTATTCTTTACTTTTGTTTCATTTTATCTTATATAATAGTGAATGGCATAAATATTTTGTAATTTTGAATCAACGATGATTTTAAATATGCATAAATGCAAAATTATTAAAATTAGACTTGTTTTTGTTTTTTTTTGCAAAATTTTGATTATATATAATACAATCTTTTACTATATGTAAAAAATAATTACATTCTTCAATAGTGCTTTTATTTTGCATAGGAAATATAATATTCCTTAAAAGACGCCAGTTCGAGATCTGCCATGGGTACTGTTTCACCTAGATACCCTTATGGCAATTCATCGCAAACGAAAAATAATAAAACGTACTTAAGAATGAGCACGTATCGGCCTTACATCGGAAAGGTTCTGGATTCGAATCTCGGGCAAGGCATGGATGTTCTTTCATTCTCTGTACTATCTGTCCTTACTGTGGGGGCAACGTTGGGCCACCTAATATGGTACCCTTGAAAGAGTGGCCAACAATCTGGCCTTCAGGTGACTGTATGGCGAAAGGTCATTCTCCAGGTGAGCATTGGAAGAAAAGAACTTAAAAATGAACTACTACAGGGTTCCCACGGTCCTTGAAAGTCCTTGAATTTTTTTTGCTAAATTTAGGTCCTTGAAAGTGCNCGAAAGGTCATTCTCCAGGTGAGCATTGGAAGAAAAGAACTTAAAAATGAACTACTACTATCTATAGTAGTAACGTTTTCAAGTGTGTGCACAGGGGCGCTGGGGTGTCATTATTACCTCTCAAAGAATTTCACTAATCGGCATATTGACGAAATTTCATCTTCTCACGTATTTCTGAAAAACACAAATAAGATTAGTCAATATTGCATCTTTATTAAAAATTTTAAATAGGGATGAAAAAAAATAATTCATTAGTATCATTTATCATATATTCATTTCACATTTCTCATATTTTCCTTAACAAATCCAATCCCGTTCTTGCATTAACAAGTTCATTTTTCAAACAATCGTCATGAAGCTTCTATTTTCGAGTACAAACGAGCCAGTTTCATCAGAAAGAGAGCTAAGAGGAATAATAGCTCATCTTTAAAAGCTCCCTCATTTTTTATTTATGAATAAGAAAAATTCAAAAAGTGTAAGTAGGTTAGAAATGTAGGCGAATGTTGCACGAAGATAAAAAAAAATATATATTGAGTTAATTACATTCTGCAGAAATTTATTTTAATTTTTAAATACATAATTTTTGCGATTAAAAGACGATAAAGGACCAAGTTGAATGTTCAATTTATGCAAGTATTTTTTTTATTATTATTATCTCATATTAAAAGAAAGTTGTTGCTGCAATCGCTACTATTTCAGAAAATATTCGCTGAAGACTCATAACTCGAAAACTAATCGATGAAACAGTATAAGATTTTGCTTATTTCTAGAGAAATAAATCTGATACCAAAATGTTAATGATACGAATATTTTACATCACATTTAAAAAAAAAAAAATTTTAAGAAGAAACTCGTTTTTATGTCTTTAAATGGATAGCTCGATGCCTTCGAATCTGTTTAGAAGTAACAAAATAGTTTTTATTGACGGTTCATCGGATTTTAGAAAAATTAATCACAATAAAAGTATAATATATGCTTCAAAAAAAATTACTCTCTCCTAATCAAAAATTAGTTTCCGCTCAATTAAATAAATTTTAAAAATTATGGTGTGTGTTTTTTTTTTACAGAATCCTGAAAGGTTAAGAAAAAAATTTGTTTATTTTAATTCGGAACGATCGATTCCTGAATATTCTATTTCTACGAGGGTTGCTATTTATATTTCTGGCCTAATAATGAAAAAACAAATATGTAGGATCGAAATTTGTTTTGTTGTTTTTCAAAATATTCTCCATGATGATCAATACACTTTTGCATGCGTTTGAACCAATTTTCAAAGCACTTTTTCCAGTCCGATTGAGGTAACTCCAAAACATGCGTTTTGAATGCATCAACCGCTTCTTCGGGGGTCGAAAATCGTTGTCCACGTAATTTATTTTTGAT